AAAACTTAGTGAGATTTGATACAATGTTGGAGATGAGTTCATCACTTATAAGCCCTTGGCTACTGATGAGAGCTGACATCTGGGCCTCAGACATAGAGAGGAATGTTGCAGCATTCATAGTAGTATCTGTTGGATCTGCAGTTTGACCCTGTTCCTCTAAGTCAACTACCATTGCATGCAGAGAGGTAAAGACGGAGCTAGCATTTGCAGAAACTTTCTGAGCAAAGGCATGCAGGATATCCCTATGCCACGCATCGTATCGTGTATTCAACTTCGCCTGTACTTGATGATGATCTATGATCGTGGGGCCAAACATAATACGAGCCTCGCTAGCATCAAAAGGACTTCTTGCTTGTTTAATTTCATTCAATAACTGCTGCCATGTCTCAATGTCATCTCCTAGCTTTCCAAGCACTTCACTGACATCTACATCCCATAACACTTGATAGTGCATCCAATTCGCCACGTAATCCTCCACCTTCTCCATCACCCCTGAAACAAAAAGAAAGGAAAAAGAAAATTAAATATAATATACAAAACAAATGCAACACAAAGTCAAAAAAAAGGAAATTGAATATAATATACACAACAAATGCAACAGAAAGTCTCATATACGGCATAGAAAAACGCAAGAAGAGAAAGTTCCCGTGTCGATAAAGAACACAAGGAAACGCATGTTATCTATCGAGTGTATTCTCTATCGAGTTTAAATATGCAAAAACCACTTCTCTTTAGTTATATTGTTTGATGCAGTGGAAACAGAGAAAGCATCTAAACCCACTATCGATGGCTGCATGAGCCCTATTCAACACATCTGCAGGGATACGAGAGGCAATGGCTCTGTAGGTGCCCCGGGTCTGCGGCTTTATTGGATCTTCATGTTCTATATTCTCCTCATCAGAATCCTCGTAGTCACAAGCTGTTGGATCTCCACCAAATTTCAGAGCCCGAGAGCTGTTTCGTGAATTAAAACGAGGCAATAAACACACAGAAGCCACCACCCGGTGCAGGCTGCCCATCCACAGTTGACGCGCAGCCTCTACTGGTGGGTGTACTCGCAGCACTTGATTTCTCACCTACAAAAAAACAAAAGTTTCAGCTCGAAATATGTTTATTCTGTACTTTTGCATGCATTCATGCATGCATTGTGCATGCTTCTTGAGTCATCGGCAACTGCTGAAGCATGCTATATCTGTTTCTGCTCGTCTATAACGCAAACCATTGTGTGTGTGTGTGTTTTTTTTTTCTGTTTTTTTTTCAGTGTGTGGGGGTACAGCTGCAGCCCCACCTGTGGTGTACACTTACTTGAATTTCTAATACGAGTCCGTTTTGTATGAGAGCAGTTCCTTTGTTTGGCCAGTCTTCAAATTGTACAGTCCACTCTTCTACGAGTTTAATGAGGCGTTGAGTTAATATAGTTTCTACTCTGTTCTCCAATACTTTCGTCCAGTCGCGTATATTTGAATAATTCTGCAAATGTTGCTCTTCTATCATCTTCTGCACATTCTGAAGCACCTGTAAACCCAGCAAGCATATCGTACACAACACAAGAAATGAATCCGTTAGATATATTTCCCCTTCGTCTGCATGCTGTGTAGTTTGAGCACCTCAACACCCACACATGATACACCCAAAATGTGTAATTAGAAATGTTCTTGCAAACGATATGCATACAACTAAACACAATAGGAATTTTTCTTGCGAAACTTGAACTGTTTTAGCTTCTTCTCTCTACGTCATTTCTGTATTCTTAACCTATATAGAGTAAATGCTACTTCTGCTGCATCACGGACAGCGAGGATGTCTTGATAAGGAGCATCGATTGGTTTCTCCTGTATTGTGTCGATCTCTCTGATAGCCTTTTCATGCTGCTGCAACGCGAATTCCGCCTTAGATTCAAAAATATAAACAATTTCTGCAAGACGTTTGACGTATGTTTCCAGGCGATCGGAATCCCAGCATAGGTTCATACCCTCTGCCAGTTTCCCTTGAGAATCCCGTTGATACGAAGCAACAAGTAGAGCAACAGCTG